TTGGAGAGGGAAATCATGCTTGGGAGGGGGGGAGGGACAGTGCAAGAGAGGAAGACCCTGGATGAGATGAATTGATTCAGTGACTGGGATTATAGGGGTAAGTATATCAGAGACAATAAGATTGGCACAGGATAGAGCACTGTTTAGGGTTGTTGTTCATAGGGTCACTATGAATTGCAGGCAAGTTGATGACACATAACAACAACAACAACATGTACTAAGCACAGAAAAATACTATAATGGACTATGTAGAGAATAAGGATTGGAGAATAAAAGGGGAGGGACTTGCTCAGCATTTTTCTAACTGAAAGAGCTAAAAAACAAATTCAAGCCTAGAGATGAAATAATGAGAAAGATTATGGGTGACATATTGAATGATCCAGAAAGCTTTAAGAGCTGGAGAGAATACACAGTCACTGTACCAAAAAGCATTGGCCAACATTAAAATATTTCAGGAAGTACCATATGATCAAGAGCCAATGGTAATAAAGGAAGACATTTAAGCTGCACTGAAGGCATTGGCAAAAATAAATCCCCAGAAATTGATGTGGTACCAATTGATGTTTTAACTCACAGTTGCATTCTTGGACATGTTCACCAGTCTATGCCAGAAATTTGGAGGACAGCTGCCTAGTCGATTGACTGGAAGAAATCCATGTTTGTTTCCATTCCCAAGTAAAAGGATCCAACAGAATGTAGATATTATTGAACAGTACCATATGCAATCAAAATATTGCTGATGATCATCCAAAACTGTCTAAAAGAGTACAGTGACAGAGAATTTCCAGAAGTTCAAACTGGGTTTAGAAGAGGCTATGGCACTAGAGATACCAATGCTGATGTCAGATGGATCCTGGTGAAAAGAAGGGAATACCAGAAGAATGTCTATTTATGCTTTATTGATTATGCAAAGGTATTTCACTGTGTGGATCATAACAAACTATGGCTAACATTGAGAATGATGGGAATTCCAGAACACAATCTCAGAACACTTAATTATGTTTATGTGAAATCTATACTTAAACAAAGAGATTGTTCTGTGAACAAAACAAGAGAACACTACATGGTTTAAAATTAGGAAAAGTGTGCATCAGAGTTGTATCATCTCTCCCTAGCTATTAATCTGTATGCTGAACAAATCAAGCTGGACTTTGAAGAATGTTGCATTATGAATGGAAGAAGACTCATTAACAACCTGTGTTATGGAGATGACATAGCCTTCTTGGCTGAAATTGAGGAGGACTTGAAGTGCTTTTTGCAGACTATTAAAGATTACAGCTTTCAATATGGATTACACCACTACATCTGAAACACCAAATTTCTCATTACTGGACTGATACAACATCACGATAGATGGAGAAAAGTTTTACACTGTCAATGGCTTCATCAGCTTGGATCCACAATCACCATATCTAGTACCAGCATTCAGGAGATCAGGAGATGTATTAAATTGGGAAAGTCTACAATCAGAGACCTCTCCAAATTACTGAGGAGCAATGATGTCATTTGAGGATTAAGGTGTGTCTGATTCAGAGTATGGTCTTTTCAGTCACTTGCTGTGTACCTGGGAGTGTACAATGAAATAAGGATGACAAAGATGCCTTTGAGCTGTGTTGTTGGAGAAGAGTACTGAATATTCCACGGACTAACAAAAGAATAAACAGATATGCTTTGGAGATGTAGCCAGAGTATTCCTTTGTGGCAAAGATGATAAAATGTTTCTCATGTATTTTTGGGCATGTTTTTAGGAGAGCGTATTCCTTGGAAAGGGACATTATCTTTGGAAAGATGGAGGGTCAGCAAAAGTGAGGAAGGCACTCAGCCAAATGGACTGACACAGTGACTGCTGCAATGGGCAGTCACATGTCACAAATGATGAGAATGGATAGAACAGGTTCAGATCTGTTGTTCATAGTATTGCTACGAGTTGTATTCAACTCAATGGCACTTGACAACAACAACAATAACATGTACAAAATATTGTGCTCACACACAAAACATACACTGAGAGCTCTCTCCTGTCCTCAAGAGATTAAACTATATCCCAAGATGCTAGATTAGGGAAATATGTGGGAATATTTGACTAGCATATAATATAGATTGTTGATAACAAAATAATACTTTTATGCTGTAGACATGTTTAAAACTCTGCATCTTCCAATAGAGAACATATTTTTTCCTTTGATGACTCATTGAACATTTGCAAAAAACTGTTGACTTGTTTGGCTATAAAGAAATCTCAAACTTCCAAAAAGCCAAAACAATTCATACTGTCTTCATGAAACTAAAGCTAAACATTATGAGATTTCTAAAGTTTTCTTTATGATTCTTTCCATTGAGGTATAAGGAAAAGAGAAGAGATGCCAGATTGTTACGGCATTTTCCTTAATATTTTCCTGGTTTTTGTTCAAGAAAGAAGTAATTCTTTTTTTAAAATTTATTTTATTTCATTATTTTTTGTGTGTACTGTCAAATCAGATCTGACTGGTACAGGAGGAGATCGTTCCTCCTTCTCCAGCAGAGCATCTGGTGGATTCGAACCGTGCATCTCTGAGATTGCAGTTGCAGCTTCTTGCCACTAGAACACCAGAGCTCGCCGAAAGAAGTAATTCTTAGTGAATATTTTTATTTAGAAGGTGGCATTTTGAGTAACTAAATTAGAAAAAACATTCTTCTGTCCAGTAGGGACATCAGAACTGGTCTAGAGGTTTGTGTGTGGCAGAAAGGTTCCTAAACAGAAGCTGTTGTTAGATGCCATCAAGTCAAGTATTATTCATAACAACCCTAAGAACAACAGATCTGAACCCTATTCTATCCTGTGCCATTGTTATCATCTCTGACACACTTGAGCCCATTGCTGCAATGATTATATCAGTCCATCTAGTTGAAGATCTTCCTGTCTTTCACTAACCCTCCACTGTTTCAAGTATGAGGTCCCTTTCTAAGGAATAGTTGCAACATACATACTCAAAGGGTGTGAGACAAAGCTTTGCCATCTTTGCCTCCATGGAGTACGTTGGCTGCCCTTTCCTAAGACATATCTATTTGTTCTTTTTGGCAGCCTATGAGATAATCTATACTCTCCTTCAGCACTACAACTCAAAGGCATCAATAATTCTGTCATCTTTATTTATCGTTCGGCTTCCAGATACATAGCAAGTGATTGAAAAGACCATGGCCTGAATCATGTGCACCTTAGACTTCAAACTGACATCATTCCTCCTCAGTAACTGGGAGAGATTTTTGACCATAGACCTGCCCAATGTAATATATCTCCGTAACTCCTTACTGCTGATACAAAGGATGTTGATTTTTTATCTAAGTAAGATGAAATTGTCAACAATTTCAGTCTTTCCTCCATGTATTATGATAGTGCTTTTCATTCCACTGGTGAGGACTGTTGTCTTCCTGAGGTTGAGATGTAGTCCATATTGAAGGCTTTATCTTTGATCTTGGGCAGCAAATGTTTCAAGTCCCATTTACTTTCAGCAAACGAGGCTGTGTCATTTGCATAACTCAGGTTCTTAATGAGTCTTCCTCTAATCCTGATACCACATTCTTTTTTACAGAGTCCAGCTTCTTGAATGATTTACTCAGCAAAAAGACTGAACAGGTATGGAGAAAGGATCCAGTCCTGACACACACCTCTCCTTATTTTGAAAAATATTTAAACCATGTAATATTTTTTTTAAACCACATAGTATTCTGTTAATTGGTTCAGACAAGTTTCTTGGTCTAGTTATAGGTTTTTTCTGTGTATATTTATATGTTCTGGGGTTCCCATTCTTCTCAATGTTAGACATAGTTTGTTATGATCCACACAGTCAAGTGCCTCCGTCTAGTCAATAAAGAATAAATAGACATTCTTCTGGTATTCTCTGCTTTCAGCCAGGATCCATCTGACATCATCAATGGTATCCCTGGTGTCAAGATCTCTTCTAAATCCAGCTTGAACTTCTTGTTGTCTGTCAATGATCTTTGAATGATCTTCAGCAATACTTTTGTTGCATTTAATATTCATGATATTGTTCAATAATTTACACATTCTGTTGAATCACCTTTCTTGAGAATCAGAACAAATACGAATCTCCTCCAGTAGATAATAAAATTCAACCGTATTCAGTCAGCATGTCCTCATTAAGAGCTGTGTGAGTTCAGAATAAAGGGTGTATTTTTCCAGTTTTTTTGAGCGTGAATGATTCTTTGTAGTTTGCCTGAAGTCGCCATATGTGTTAGGAAAATCCTTCTGATCAAGAGAACCGGCCATGAGAATGTTTACGTTTCAGCATTTAAATTTTTTATCTCATAAGAAGAATAAAACATTTCTATTAATAGTAAGAAATATGTTTATACTCATTTGAGTACATTTTAGAAATAAAAAGGTAGTTGTTAGTTTGGTGTGTTGTTTTGTTTTTTTTTAAATGTAGCTGTACCCAGAGTGTGGTTCATAAACCACCAATAGAAGTAACAGCTGGGCACTTGCAAACAATTCAATCTTAAGAGCTGTGGCCCCTGCACACCAAATGGACTTTTTTTTTTAAATGAACAGATTTTCATGGTTTGCAGATGACTTTTTCAAAAGCAGTATGCATTTTTATCTGTGTTTTAATGTTTCTGTCTCAGCTCACAGAGAGGCCAGAATTTCTACCAATCTTCTTCCTTTACAAGGATGTAATGTTGCATAAAGAGTTTCTCATCCCACTGTCCACCTGTGCCCTAGAAATCATCTCTATATCTCTTAGTCAGGTATTGGATATATATATATATATATATAATAAGATAATCACATAAGTATCATATCTTACTCTGTTCCACACAGCTAAACTTGGAAACAGTCTGCCATTAGTTCACTGGAACAAGTCAGAGTTATGATTTCATGGAACTTGATGGAGTAGAGCTAGCCAGAAAGGGCTGTTTAATGTTGGAGTCCACTCTGAAAAAGAAAATGTCTCTTTTAGTTTGTACAATCCTTTTAATGGCATATCCCAAATCATTCCAGATAAATGTCTACTCAGGTAAAATTTCTACACTGGGGTGGTACAAAAAGTAAAGTATATGACTATTAGCTGAAAGGAATGCAATATGAATCCACACAGAAGCACCTTGAAGACTGCTTCTTCAAAACCCTATAAAGCAACTCAACTCTTGTACATGTGGATTTTCCATGAGTCAGGATCAATTTAATGGCAACCAAAACCAACAGTTTACAAAGCTTGTTGTTATTGTTATGTGCCATTGAGTAGCTTGCAACTCATAGTGACCCTATAAACAACAGGCCTGAAACCTGCTCTATCCTGTGCCAATCTTATTGTCTCTGACACACCCCCATTATCCCAGTCTCTGAATCAATCCATCTCATCCAGAGACATCCTCTCTTGTGCTGTCCCTCCACCCTTCCAGGCATGATTTTCCTCTCCAAGAACTGTTCCATTCTTGCAACATGGACAAAGTATGCCAGATGAAGCTTCAGAATCCTTGCCTTCAAGTAGCAGCTAGGTTTCACCCTCTCTAGGACAAACTTGTTTGTTCTCCTAGCAGTCCACGGTATATTCAATACTCTTCTCCAGCACCACAGCTCAAAGGCATCAATTC